AAGAACTTGGTATTCCTTGAACACACAATGATTCCCCTTTTGAGTTCTGTCTTGCTCATGTTTCTCTTTCCCTGGATGTCCTTTCCTCTACTTCTCCCCCTTCATGCGCCCTCTTTCTGGTAAACTTGTAGTATCTTTCAAGACTCAGATAAATCTCTTCAATTCTAGAAAACCTTACATGGTTATTTTTGCTTAGAATTGATAATTTCCTACTCTGCTCTAAACAATGGTTTTCTCCTGTCACTAGCTCAGCTCCAACGATTTTGGGGTTCTAGTTAGTGATCAGTGAATCTCTTTCCTGCACTTGGTTATTCTTTGGAATTAGGAATCTACTCTTATTTTTATTTGATCACATCTGTTTACATAGGCTCTCAAAAATACTTATTTAATAAATAGAACAAAGGGTAAAAATAGAAGAAACTTAAATTCTTTTGTTTCTTGGGACTATTAACAATAAATAATGACAGTTAATTATGTATTTCCAGTATATAAATGTACAAATAATTTGTCTGAATATTATCTTATTTTTTTTCTTATCCTGACATAATAAACATAGGTATAATGCAGAGACATTAATACTCTCACAAATTCTAGAACGTTCTAGACAAAAAAGAGAAGTATGCTTAAAATTTAAAAAACATTAATGATAAGTAGCTTTTTTTATCTTTTAGAGCCCAAATCAGTTCAGATTTTTATTCTGTATGAAAGTTGTAGTCCCTCTGTATCCTTATTTAATCAAATGCTCAATACTGTAATATGTGGTGACATGCAAATTGTGGTTGAAGGGGGGCCAAATGTCACCATGCTGTTTTTTTTTTAAGAATAGGAAAAATTTATTGAGAGAAAGATAGTTTCTAAGAGAGACAGAAGGGGGACCGATATGTGGGTTGCCCGCTCACCCCACTTTTCAAAGATATTTTATACAGCCAAGCCATGTGGTGAGGCAGGTACAAAGTGGGACAAAACTGTAAGACCCAATGGAAATTTACAAGGTGGGCATGAGGAGGGACAAAACCACCACCAACCAATAAGATTACAAGTACAGTCACCCAGGTAATATTGATCCAATGAGAAATCACAAGGTGAGGAAAAACTATGAACAACCAATAAGATTATGACAAGTATAGTTGCTTAGGTAATACTGATTAAATGGGGATCCAATGGGGAAACAAGTCATGTAGCAAGTGTAAAAGGAATGAACAAGGATTTTCAATGGAAAAGGGTGGGTGAGGGATCTTTCTTGGAAGATCTTTGTCCCCCACCCAGGTGATTGATACCAATTTAGAATATCAATCACTGCTATTCATCCTACATGGGTGTGGTAGTTTCCTTTTACAATTCTGGCCTTCAGTGAACCTGTCTTGATTGTCCTCCATGTTGGCTCCTCCTGGGCTGGCCCTGTCTAACTGTCTAAAAGATATCTAATTAACTTACCTATCTGCAATATTCCCCCCTCTGAAGAAGTACCCCTAACTGTTGTGAAGGGCAAAGGACAAAGACCATTCTGGTTACTACCAGTTGAAGAGGGTTGTAGTTGTGATCAGCAGTCAGAGTTACTCTACAGAGAGTCTACCTAAAGGCCTTCAATAGGCACCAGGCATTGTCATCTTGGGTAGCCTTATAGCTGTAAGTCTGGAGGAGACAAAAACCAAAGAAACAGTTAAGAATTCATGGGCCAAATTATAAGGTCAGCAGGATTGCTATGAATATAGCCAACAGGTGTTTCCACTGGGAGGAACTAGTAATAACCTCCCACAAAGAGGATAAGGAGAAGGTCCAGGGGACTTCAGAATCCAACACAGAAATTGCATTGTATAGTTTAGCAGTTATGAGCCATTTATAAGGTCGATCTGGTGAATCCCAGTAAAAGAAGTCTAGCACATTTGTCATTGATTCCATTTGTATGACTGCTTGGAGTTTGGCAGCCTCTAGGCAAGAATAAACAAAACTTTTAAGAAATTAGACCATGTATAATCTAAGCATGAGCACACTAGAATGGAAGGGCAGTTTGGGGAGAAAGACACACTTCGAAACTGAAATAGTGATTGTAACCTGCTGGCTCTTAGATTCTTTCATTGACAGAGATTATCTCTAAGACTGATACTTTGTCAGAAGTCTCTCTAATTTTAGCGGTAAGATAAGAGACAATTTGAGGAACAAATTTCTCTGAGAAATGTAACTCTAACTGAGCTCCTATAGATTCTACCATAGTTTTTCCTAATGATCCATAACCATGGTCAGCTATTGGTGTAGCTGGAAACTTCCAGAAGGGGTTGGCAATTGGAGCCCCCTTTATATTTAGCTTTATTACTATGGCATTATTTTTTTATACCTCTTTTAGTTTTTTCTTTTCTCCTGGGTGTTTAAGACCAAGTTAAAGTGAGACCTGTGTCAATCAATATGAACCTCTTGCTATCTATCAAGGTCAGTAAAGTCTCCTTGGGCATTACTTTGGAACCGTATCTGGAGCCTCTCAGCTCCTCTGTCAGTGTCAGGCATCAGGATGGGTCACAGCCTTGCTTGACCATGTTGCTTTTGGTTAAAGTGTGGGGGACTTTTCCCTCTTGGTGACCCTCCTTTGGCACATGGTACATTTGTCCTCTGGTGCCCAACAATCTCCCTGCTCAGGAAGTGGAGTGACTTACCAAAGATATAGGATCCTATCAGAAGGGTTCCTTTGTGTCCTGGGCCTTGTAGACCTTGGGAGGCCAGGGCCAAAATACTGGCTGTCCTCATAGCCCAGTTACCTTTCTAGTTTTAGTCTCCAAACTTTAGTTGTTGAACACCTAGAAGAGATCAGTGATTTAAGTATTTCAGTAGGAGCAGTGAGCTTATTATTATAATTTTGTCTGGACATTAAGCACTTTTGAAATATAAAGCACAGTTAGAGGGGTATTATTTTACCAACCATGGTCATTTAGTTGAATCCCTGCAGAATGTTAATAGACAACAGTTATATATTATAGAGAAACTTAAGATCAAGAGCCACACATAGTATTTTAGAATGACAATCATGATGACATCTTTGTAACACTTTTATGTCCATCTTAGTATGGAATAGTCTTTCAGTCAAATACCTCCATCTGATTACAAGACATTAAATGACATAAAGAAAACTCTTGTTTGTTATCCTTTAGTAGGATGCCATCTAAAGAGAACATACATATTGGCGTATAAATGTACCTTAGAAGCTCATAATGTCTAGCCCTTAATGTTTAGTGTGTGACATTGTTTGGACTGTTTGGTGTCTGAGCATCCCAAGTGTGTCACCATGCTTTTAAAATATGATAGTAAAATAACTGTTGACCATTTAATTCCAGGCACAGAATATGATTTCTTTGTTTCTATTATCAGTGGGACTAAATTAAGCAATGTGTTTTATGTGCCTACAGTAAAAACATCTAAACGCTTCCATATTTACATACATTTTTTCTTGATTTCAGTTTTGTGTACCATTTCAAATTAAATATATTCATTAAGGCAATTATATTCAAGGATCTTTTGTAATTTTACATGCCTCACTATTGAGTTTATTCTTTCATTGCCCAAGTATATAGATACAGAAGAGGCTTTGTAAAACAGGTCGGTAATTTTTTATCTGTCCATTAACAAAGCACATGTTTGAACTTTAACGAGAACTTTAAATGACTTAATCTAAGGTGAGGAATGTGATTAATTTTAAGCAGAGTATGAGAATTAGAATATATCTTTTAAGTCTTAAGGCCCTGATGGCATCTCAGAGCTCATAATCCACATAATCTAAGGCTTGTTTGCTCTGTCTGTGCTGCCATTTGTCTAGAAAGAACTAGGGCATATTTTTCTTAGCTCTTTGACTATTTACAAGTAATATTTGTTAATATAAAATATTTGTTTATACCAGATAATTGCATTTTGAGATTTGTATTGATTTTTTCTTTAAGTCACTTAAAAATTCTACAAATATTAATTTTGAATACTTGGGATATATGAAATTTATATAAGATATCCATCTAGTAGTTATAGAAATGAATGGTAAACAGCAATAAATGCCACAGAAAAATCACATAGAGTCCTAAAAACATTATAATTCTGACTATAACATGTCCGGTTTCTGTATTATTTGCTCTTATCTGTGAACTTTTGCATATATCATTGTGTCACCATGTTTCTTTTCTGAAAAGCCCTAACTTTTCCATTTCTGTTTAAACTGTACTTTTGCATAACATTCTCCCATGCTGATGTCACAAACCACAGATTTCGGACACTATTTTAGCATTTTTGTGCTCATCTTGGTACATTTGTATTTTATTTTTACTTGAGGTTTGTGTACTTTTTATTGGTATTCTTCGCCATCCTTCTTTATATTATAATTCACCATGGGTGGCATTTTTTATTTGGCAGTTCTTCTGTTTAAAAATATTTATCAGTTCATCATCTAAATAAATCATGTGATATAAATCAGCAAAACCAATATATAAGATGAATGTTTAGAACTGCATATTCCTAGCTTCTCTGAAATAATTTTTCCTGTTAGGATAGATAGGATCTTTAAAATGGCAAAACAGCACATCAGAAATCATCAGATTAAATTTATTTTAGTTTTAGTGAATATGTGTTAAAGACGGGATTCTTTTACTCCTTTTTTGTAGACCGCATATTTCTCTTGCCTTTTTAGCTTAGGCTAATGTTTTCAGGAGGCTTTAATATCTCTTTGTTGTTCTGAATATTGTTTTTGCTCCTGTGAATTTGCTCTTCAGTAGTTTTTGCTGCAACATCCAAATTAGCTGTGAATAATAGCATTTAAAATGGCTGTCAGTACTGCAACTGGTTATCATCTTTTACAGGCTGACATTATGTGTGTAAACAACTATTTTTAATTAGAATAGGACAGATTGATTAATAAATTTTATTGTCTTTTTTTCCTCATTGTGCTTTTTATTTCCTTTAAAGGGATAAATTAGCAGAGAAACTGAATTAGAAAATGTCCAAGACTAACTCAAGTGTGTTATGTTTTTGGCTAGGTCTGGAAGTACCATCAGATGTCTGTGAGGGCAATGTTACAGGCTCCTCCATAGAAATTCTCTGGAATCGAGCTTATGGGAATTTCCAGCATTATGAAATCACATGTAAAAGCTACCATGCTGCTTTCATGGTATGTTACAGGGGCTCTTGGAGGAATTAAATTTGAGTCTTTCATGCTGAAACCAATATTACTGCATTCTTACATTAGATAGTAGTGAAACTAAATAACCCCCCAACTTTTTTTGCTATGTTCAATTGTGGAGCTTAAATGAATACTAGGTAATTTATTTCTTTGGGTTGATAGGTCCACAAAGTGGTTCAAGAAACAGCAACATCCTCCACAGTGTACATCTTTTCAAATCAGACTGAAAAAGAAGGTTTTAAAGACAGTACCTCTAACATAAAAGAAATACAAACAGGTAAACCAACATGTGTATTTTAGGCATTTATTTAATATTCAGATATTGATTTGATTCTTTTAGGGAAGATTAAATAAATAGTTCATTCTTCCCAGTCTTTCTTTGTGGCTAGTGTTTTTTGTATCTTTTTCTGTTTTCCCTAATATGGGTTTTCACAGCATCATTTGTGTTTGTATTGCCAGGCGGTAGACTTGCTAATTCCCTGGGTCTGCCAGATTTTCCATTTGTGCTTTAATTTCTCCATTGTTCAGTTAAGCAGACAGTGAGGTGCCACTTTTTCTGTGTAAACAGTATACTCCCAGTAGCAGATGGTGACTTATTTCATGGCAATCATAGGAAATAAAAGATGATTGGGAATAATCTACGTAGAATGTATAAGTTGTCATATACCCAGTGAAGTAAAATTGTCAACGATTCTAAAATAACTGTTTTGGCTGTGGGAACATTGATTTATATATTTTGAATCTGGTCATGGCTGGTATTCTTTTATTGCACTAATAAAGAATGAGATTGAGAGAGAATATCTGACAATTGTGTTCCTTTTGTATACATGAAAGAATTTTAAAGAGAAACAAAATATATATTATACTCTAATTTTACATTTTTCCTCAGGAAAGAAGGGGGCATTTTGTATTTAAATTTCAATTAAGCTTTTCTGCTGATTAACTTTGTCACTATTTGGTATTTAATTAGGATGAGTGTCTAAAATAATAAAATAATAAAATATTTTTGAAATTGATAGTTTAACAAGACCAAGATACAATCTACTTCCTACATTTTAAAGGAAAGGGAAAATTTGGGTCCAACAATACCAGTGCACGTGTTGGCTTTAGTTTAGACTTTAAAATGATTCTCTCTGTTTCTTTATCTCCCTCCTCTCTCTTATTCTTCCTCTTCTTTCTTCCTCTTATTCTTCCTCCTCTTCTTCTTTCTCCTCCTTCTTCTTCTCTTGGAGATTGAATGCAGGCCCTTTGCACTGAACTATAACCTCAGTCTTTTTTTTTTTTTTGAGACTGAGTTTTACTCATAATTTGGGATCCTCTTGCTTCAGCCTCCCAGACTGCTGGGATTACAGGTTAGTGCCACCAGGCCTGGCTGTCTTGTTTTATTTTTAACTTCTCATTTCTACCATGCTGAACAAAAGGAATATCTTAGTCTTCTTCGGAGTTTGCAAAGAGTTGAACAAATTCTAAGAGTGTTCCTGGGCTGTTTTAAAGCAGATCTTTATGCTATAGAAAATGTGATTTTATTGTCTATGCTCTTAACAGTACAGCTCCAAGTGCATTTGAGTTTATGATCCATAGTACAGGCTCAGGCAGGAACTGTTGGCCTTCTTCAACAAGTCTTCTGGGTGGGTACATTATTTTAATATCCAGTGAATGTTCCATGAAGGAAATCTTGTTTCCAGCAAAAGGTATGACAAAACAAAAAGAAAGTATATCGAGTTACATGGAACACAAGATTAACAATTTACATACTTTTTTAGAAAGCTATGTTAGAGGACTAATATAAGCAGAAATTTGAAAAATTCTCAAGACAACTTTTTGGCCTACAGTGCAATCAGTAAGTTTGAATGGCAGTAACATTATTTTTGCAATAATGAATTAACTCAGGATATTATCATATTTATACGTATAGTATACAATTTTTGATTTAAATGAAATTTCTTTGCAAAAGCTATGATTTCCTATTAACCATTTATGCTCAGCTAAGCATGGCAAATTACTACTCTGATAGATAATAAAAAACCCCAAAACTTGTAAAGTTCTTTCTGCAGATATTGTGAGAAAATGGAGCTTTCCAAATAGTTCTGACCTAAATGTTTTTTTAACATGTGACTTTTCCTTAATAAGCCTTGTCTAGGGATTGGCTTTTTAATTAGTGCAATGACTACCAAGGGACTAAAAAGAAGCCATCCTGCTATCCTCATGGTTAGCACTTGTAAATTCATTTTAAATTTAATTAACTTTTCATAAAGAAAAAGGAAGTAGTTGTGTTTAAAGCTAATAGCTAATTAAGGATGAATAACTGTGAAGTGGTTGATGATATGCTTAAAGTAAAGGCATACTGAATTAATATGGAGAATGTCTAAATTATACTCCTGCCTCTGTCAACTTATTAGTTATGTGACCTTGGACAAAACAATTAACTTCTCACTTAGAAAATGAGAATAATTTATTTTTGCCTAGGTAAAGAACTCTTCTTATTAAAATCAAAAGTGAAGTTCTTTGAGAAAGTGCAAGTACTGTGAGGCCCCAAGGTATTATTGACAAGAAATACTCATTATTATTCTAATACTCTGACTATATCTATTAACATTTTGTGAAAAAACAACTATGGAGGGCCAATCCTGTTGGGATACACCTATAATCCCAGCACTAAAGAGGCAGGAGGATCTTTGCAAGTTTGAGGCCAGCCTGGGGTACATAGTTCAAGAGCAGCCTAAACTACATTTTGAGTTCAGAAAAAAATCAGAACAAAACAAAACAACAACAAAAACTATAGAATGTGAAAAAATAGATGGTGTTCTTTTTTGTTTGCATTATTTGTATTCGGTTTGTGTCTTCAGACCCTATGGCTATTGCTTACATATATGCTTGCTCTGAAATATGCCGTTATTCTGAAGCACCCCTTCATTTGTGTGCCAAGTTCTGTGAAACTGTGTACAAGTGCCAATGCATTTTTAGCTATGAGAGGAGGCTGAAGCTCAGAAGTTACCATGTGAAAGAAGAGAAGGCACTTAAAAATGCAGCAATAGTCAAATCAGCTCCTGGAAATTAAACTAAAAAATTTGAGCAAGTATTATACATCAGCATGGTACTATGTGCTTAAATCACACATTACATTGCAATGGGTTATCCAAATGTAGGGTAAAGTTCACTGGAGTTCCTAACTCATTACCAAAGGTGAAATTTTAACCCAGCGTCTTATCTCTGAAGCTTGTGTGACACTCTGCCTCCTCTTATAAAGAGCGTTCTAGGAAATATCAGAAATAAATGAGAAAAGGCTTCGCTTTTTACAATGAAACTCATTATTTTACATCAGTGAAGGCTTAGTTGTTGCTTAGATTTGAACTGTGTCATTCTCATTGTCACCATCCTCACCATTAGCATCATTGTCATCATCACATTGAGTGTGTCACATTAAATGTCTTTTGTCAGGCACTCTGCTAAGCATTTCCTATGCTTATATCACATAACTCTAAATGACAACCTTTATTTCATCAATTATGAGATGCATAATTTTACATAGCTTACAAATAAGCAAATGGATTAGAGAATTTAGTACCTTCTGTAGAATGACACAGAGGGTTGGGGCTGTAGCTCAGTGGTAGAGCGCTTGTCTAGTGTGCACAGGGCTTTGGGTTCAGTCTCTAATTCCTGCTCCCCCAACAAAGACAGATTTGAACTCATATTTACCTGACATCAAATTCTGACTTTGTGACCATCATACTTGAATGGAAAGGCCACCACCGTGTTATACCATTCTGGCTCTGTGACTTTCTATAAATTATTATTCAACTTTTTGGGCTTAATAATGCTTTCCATATTTCATCATATTGTTGTTTTAAATATATTTTCCCAGACAAGCCTTTTTTTTCCATTCTTACTATGTTAGAATTTGTCTTTTGTTCTTTGTGTTTTAATAATTTTTGGTCTTTTGTAACTTACTTTGTAGTCTATGTTAAATCCATTTGGAAACAGACACAATGTTAATAAATGTTCAAAATAAAGCTAAATATATTATGAGAATGATTAATTTCAGTTGGAAGAGAACGTGCAACACAGAATAGAATAAAAAGAAGTATAGATGAGGATACACAGGTTTAAATCTTCCACTAAGATGAATCCTGCTAAATGTAAATCAGTATGTACATAGGAGCAAAAAAATAAACAAAACAACCTGACACATAAAATTTGAATTTTAGAAATGAAATTATTCTGGTAAAACTTTTTATTGCAAATAAGGAAATCAATAGAATATTTTAATTTGAAATATAAATTAGAAATTTGGAAAAAGGGTTTCTAGAATCTTCTTAGCTAAAGTAGTGAAAAGGAAAAAGGTTGTGAATTTCTGGAGGGTGGATATAACTATTACTTTATTCAGTGGATAAAGTATAAGTTAACTGAGTTGTATAACTTCATTTTGAATTCTCCTGTGAGAAAAATAATTGTAAAAATTCTTAATTTGAATGATTTTATTATTGGAAGAGGCTTTCTAGAAAAATAATTTCCTGTCCTTGTGGCAATGAGGAGACTGAACTTGGTAAATATCTTACACATGATCATCTGGTGCTAAAACTGACTAGTAAAACCTAGGTGTTCTGTCTCATCTCTACTACCATTTAGAGTCAACATTATCAGTGCAGAGTAGATAACATAATGGTAAAAATATATTTTAAAGCTATTATTCCAATATCTTATTTCATTGCTCTAGATCCAGACCCTCCATCAGGTTTGCTGATTTGGGGAGAGGAGAAGAACGCAGTACATTTATGTGTGAAACTATCACAAAGAGGGTTTGAAAAGTTTCAGGTAAAGAACAGTGCCACTCTCATACAATCTTGGTGTATTGGAGTCTTTATTTCACGCCTTTCGGCCTTCATTTTTTATGAGTGGTTTTAGAAGTTATTGTCCTACTTCTTTAACTTCTTTTTCTCCAACTGATATTTTTGTTTACTTCTTTGAAAGTACAGAGATGTTATGGCAAGTGTTGAGATATAAGTGAAAACTGATACCTTACTTTCAAAGAGTTTGAATTTTCAGTGGAGATTAACATGTGGATATGTAGAGCCAAAAAAGTAAATCAATGATTGTTGGTTCTGGAGTCTACAGTGCCATGGCAGCCCTTGCCATACCGAGATTCCAGATTAATCTAGGTGATGTGCCAGAAGCTCTGTGTGGATCTTGTCCAAAGATTTAGTTGGAAATTACATCAAACAACCTGAAATAGTTTAAGCACTAAAGGGAAAATATACATTATTAATATAAGTGTTTTAAGGAGAACAAGAACAGAAAAGAGCTGTATGTTTGGAAGAACTAGAATCAGATATATTAAAGCCACTAAGAGCCCAGACACTTGATCTTTCTGTCTTCTTTTTTCTACTCATTGGGATATTTTTTCTGAAGGCTATCTCTGCTAAGCAATATGCATAGGAAAATACCATATACAGTTTCCAAGTACAAATGTTATAGTATCAGACACAGAAAAATAGTTTCTCCCTAAATTCCCAAGAAAGGGCATATAATTCTCCCACATTGAAATAAATATCCAGTTATGATCCAGTCGAATGTAAAAAGTGAAATTGACCTTTTTATTACAATTTTTAGTTACCTATAGTAGATTAGAACAGCAAAAGGAGATTTCTTTTTAAATGCTAGAGGTACTAGTTATGCATTCAAACCAAGTTGAAAGAAAAACATTTTCATTCATTCAACAAATTCTCTTTCTCTAGAAACAATAGGAAGGAGGGTGCTATATGTTAAAAATATAGTTGATTCACCAAAGCAAATTTCAAAACGAGCTGTCTTAAATAAAATCTTCCATTTCAAGTATTGGCAGTTCCATCCTTCAGTATAAATTCCACTTGGCTCCTCAGGGTCTTTAAAACATTAAACCATCTAAAATTTCTCTAGCAATGTGAAAAATTAGGCCTGTATGGAATGTAAGGTCATTAAAAACATAGATAATATAAGACACATGCATTTTATATTTTCACTACATTAATAGATGCTAACTTCAATCAATTTTATCTTTTTCAGAAGAATTAAGCTTTTAGTGATATATGTGCAATATTCTGGTAGTATATTTGATAATAGCTTTTTTTTAATGGAACAGAAATCCCTATTTTGTTTTTCCTAACATTCTGAGAGTTCAAAAGATAAGGAACATTTATTAGTATGGACAAGCTGTGAAATTCATTTAAACACCAAATATTTGTTCTACATAGTAATTCTTTGAAACTATTAGATTTCTGGCTTTCTTTTCATGAGCACTGGAAGTGCAATGAGATTTATATCCTTTGAAAGAATCTCAGAACTGTAATGGAACTGAAGGTGTAATCTATTCCAAGCATGAAAATAAACATTGGCTTGCATATTTAAAACCTGAAAGAATTTAATGTGAATTTAGAAATACTAAAGTAGTTGACATAGAATATTTACAGAAGTTTGTTATTCCCTTGCTTACGTATTTCAGCTAGCTTTTATGAACTCTGAGCAAGTTTTTGTTATTGACTAGCACTGTCCAATAGAAACATAAAGTGAACCACAAATGAGACATGTAATTTAAACATTTTTTAGCATAACCATTAAAAAGGTAAAAAGAAATAAATGAAATTAATTTTAGTAATATATTTTTATCCCAAAGTAGTCAAAATACTAATATGTTGCCAATATAAAATTATTGAGGTACTTTACATTATTTTTTCATATTATGCAAAATCTGGTGTCTACTATACACTTAAAACACATCTCAATTTAGATTCAACAAAATTGTACTCAATAGGCACATGTGGCAAGTGTCTAACTTATTGGACAGCATAGTTGCACAATGTTTATTGTCCTCTCAGCTTAATGATGTAGTGGAGGAATGGCAAAAATTGGCCCCTCAGTGTTCAGCTCAAGTACCATTTCTTCCTGAAAGGCTCTCCAATCCCACCAACATTTTTTTTTCCACAGAGATTTTATGCAACTTCTCTTTAACTTGTTCTGTTTTTTAAATGTTATCTCTTATTATTGATATACAAGTTCTAGCATCCCTATGCCATTTTCTTGGTGGACCTTTTAGTTCTAATGTTACTATGTACTGAATTAAGCAGAGCGTCCTTTTATTTGTTCACAATTTTCTCCTTCCGGACTCATGTGCTATTTTCCAATGCAGGGAAACTAGATATACACAACTGTGTTCAGTGTATCTGTTATTTCCCAAGGTGTGGGAGGCTGTGTGGTGTAATGTGATCATGGTCCCAGAATTCTTTGTTTTGAATTCTAACTTCATCTCTGCCATGAATACTTAGGCAGATTTTTATTCTTTTTGGTCCTATTTCCTCACCTTTCAAATGGAGGTTATTGTGATTATCTATAAACTTCTTGAGAGAATAGTGAGATAATGTGTTTGGCAAATGTTCTGACATGTAAATTTGTTGAGCACATACATTTTGTCTGCTTTGATCACTGTTGTGTACCATTGCTGAGACCAGTGTCTATACTCATAGAAAGAAATTTAAAAATATTTTAGTGAATGAATAATTGAATTATTAGTTATCCTTTAATTTTCATATCTATATTTCATAATTAGGGAGGCTTAGATTTATTTTGAATTTCTTCTTTTTTTGTTTCACACACAACGATCAGAATGTTTTTTCTTAAAAGTAAAATAAAATGTTTCATTCTTGTGCTTAAGCAACTCTGGCTATAGATTATTAAGCCCTGCCTTTTCTTTTGACTCTACCTCTAGTCCTCCCAGTCCTCCGCATCTCTGGAAAGGACATTGTTTTGTAATCATCTGTTATCTTTGACTCTTGCTATTCCTCATTTCTTAGCTACTTTGACCATTTCTACTTCTAAAACAGACCTTGAATATATTCACTTCTTTCTACCTCCACCATACTCTTCTTGTCTTTATTTACCAAGCCAAGAAGCCCAGGTGAGAGATGACAGGTTATCATTTCAATTTCCATTCTTGACTTCTCTGTGGTTGATAGAACAGTGGTTTAGCATTCTCCAGTATATTTCCACTGCTCTTCAAATAAAAATCTAAACACATCCTGTTTAGAAATATAAATTTCTTTTCTATCTCCTTGGTTGTAAAATCTAAATACAACTACTCTTTGTAGTTATTCTGTGACTTAGCTGAATTTTTTTCTCTTATTTACTTAGTTGCTTGTTATTAGACAAGCATTATTATGCTACATTGGAGGGTAACTTCCCTATCACTAGAACTTTTCTATCTTTGGCGTATCATTCCTAGATCCTAGATTAATGCTTTCTCATTAATGTATGTTCAATAAGCATTTGATGAATAAATAAACATTACATGCTCAGTTTTCCCATACATGCTTGAGGTGATTATGGAGGGAAGATATAGATTCTGAATATAGTTATCATGGAAAAGTTGAACTTGAGATGAACTTTGAATAACAGGTAAGTTTCAGACTCATAGAATAGAGGAGAAGACATTCTATACTAGCAAGGTCACAAACTCAGGAGTGAGTATTCTATTTGTCATTTGTAAATGTCATTCAAGACAGGACACCATAAATAATAAATAACTTGTGAAAAATTCCATCCATTCTATATTGATTCAAACCATTGCTATATTCAGTAAGGTATTTTGTAGTAAAAAAAATCTAAGCACTTCTAATGTTAATTGTAAAATATACATTTCTATCCTTGTCTCTGTGCCCTAGTTCTCATATTCTAAGGCAAACGCCAAGTGGAATGATCTTTCCATGATCTTAACGGAGGCCATACAATTATTTGTTGTCAGATAAAATATATAATTGTACAATGTTTTTACTGTATTTACATGAACATATGGTTTGCAAAGACTAAAAATTATGTACTTGTCATTAAGTGAAACTAATTTTAAGGAGGTTAGTCTTAGGATTCATATTATTGTTATGGACCACATTATGCCACTAATAGTTATCTGAGTATTTCTTAAGCAATGAGAATATTTGTTAAAATTTAATGATTTAAGCAACAGTATCCTGTTTGCTCAGTGAAGTGCACTTGCATAATTGGGATCATTTCTCTCTTCATTTAAAATTAATCATCTTGAGTCTCCACACTCCCCTTTTAAATAGAAATAAAGTATAAATTAAATTTTCTTCATTTGGTATCTATTAGGCACATGTACTTTACATACTTTGTGGAGAGGACTCTATATTTTTGTATTAAAATTAGTTACATAATTGTGTGATTAAATCCCTAGAAACAAATTCTTTTTCTTCTACCTTTCACTAGTGCCTTAGTGTGACTCACAGTGTATCTGAACTTAGCACTCCATTAAGATTACTGTATATTCTTCTGCTATTGAATGATACTTTTTCCTGCCATCCTTTTTCATACCAGAAGTTCTCAGCGTTCTGCTCACTGCTCCTCTATCTTTTCATATGTCAGACAAGTGAGGTTATTGTCAGTGACACCTTATGAATCAATGAGCAATGACATGAATTCTAGACCTCATGATTATCTCCTTCTTAACAAAGTATTCTTTCTGAAAGACACTGATAAACATGTCTGCCTAGGAAACTTGTTTGAGTCCTAGCACAGAATACTTGTATTTTAAAAGTTTAAATAATTGATAAAATTAATATTTTAAATATGAAATATGGAATGAAGAATAAATATTGCCATAAATAGCCTTTAGTGAATTAAAAAACTCTCCGGGGTATTAGAACTATCAGGGTACTGCCCTGAAAATTTCTAAAGACAATGCTAATTCTCAAAACTTTTGTGAAGAATTGATTGACATGACCCAGGTTATGATGAAAGATAAACTGGCATGGAGGGTGGCATCATTCATTCATTCATCCATTCAACAAAAATTTTAAGAGTCTTTTTTATTTCAAGTATCTGTGTAGTTTTCTGTCCTTGCTTTTTACTGGGCTCTAACATTGACTGGTTTTCAGTGGCATCTGTTTAATAGTCCTCCAAGTCCTGGCTGTCTGCTGAGGCAAAAGCATGAATTCTCTAGAGGGGCCTGTGGGTTATAATTACTGCTTACTTCCTTGACAGGGCAGACAAAGCTGTGGTTTCACCTTTTCCAACTCTTGTCCACCTCTTTCCTCAGGCATCATACCCTACTGCTTTTTGTTGCTGGGGTCTCTTTGCACAGAGGCCAGCTTTTTGGGGTAAGACAATTCAAATCCAACCATTCTTGACCCATGAGAGACTCTAATATCTTTGTCAGGGCCAAAGTTGATATACAGATTGTTCCAGAGTGTCCTTTCTTTGCTCTTCTATCTCTCTCCAATTTCCATTTTCTCTGCTTAACCACTCACAGGCACTGAGCAAATAGTCTGGTGCTTGAAGTACATGTTTAACTGGGAGATATTAATCTTTCTAATGTGCATCCTCAATATGATAGTGGTACACATGGATCCCTAATCTTGTTGGCGAGGAAAATATGGGCAGAAGCACCATATTTCTCATCCCTTGGGCAGCTAAGAGTTCAGGCACTTGGGACTTCATTGATTTCTGCTTTTTTCTCATCCAGTCTTCTGCTTATGTGGATCAGTGAGAGGGGTAGTAGGTACTAGACCTGAAGGTTATCTCTAAAGCCCAATTTTACATAATATTTTCATTTTCAGGTGAGCAACAGACATATTCCCTCTCAAAATTTAGTGTCTCTATACATACACATGTGTAAATCAATATATAACACATATACATATATATGTCCAATCATAGATGTTAAATTAAATATGTACATGCATATATTCCCGTAATAATAGCACCATACATGTATATATGTTAAAATATAATATGTACATACGTGTATGAGATTAAAAGCAGTCTGAGGCTCTTGGTCTTCTATGTCAGTCCACTGTGATTACCAGGTAAACATTACTAAGCTGTCCAGCCTCAACTAGCCTTAATTTCCTTGGTTAGGATATGGTGGATTATAGCCTCTACCTTGCCATATGAATTTATGAAAATATGATTAATACAGAGTTGGTGTTAAATTAGTCCTTTTTAAACTATGAAAAACAAATTTATTTTTCTCTTTCTCCAGGTATCCCATTATATGGCATCTAGAAAGGACAAGCTATTTCATGTAATTGTTTATGGCAAGAAAGACAGAGTAAAAATTTGGACTCCTGGTATGGACTATGTATTTCAAGTGAAGATAGTCAGAGGCAAAGATTACAGTGTATCTATAATGAAAACAGTGACTACAAGTAAGGAAATATAGTTTTTCTTTCATGGTTTTACAAGACTTGAAAATATTTTGGCTTAGCACAGCCATAAGGATTTAAAAGCCTGATAATTAAGGAATAATGATGATCATGAAAATATGATTCAGAGAATTAAAAATATATTTTAAAGAAGTATTTGAATATTGAAATATATTAGGAATTACATAGAATTCTTGAATAATCTCAAGATAAAAGTATGTATATCATATATATTTACATATATATATTTCACACACATATATTCACATATGTAATGTATACACAAAATTCCATAAAAATATAAACAATTTATTTTCTACTGATCTATTAGTCATAAACAGAGAACAACTATTTTATTTTCCTTGAGATTTGTAAGTTCATTGCCAATCAGTTTCATGTTTGGGGATGGGGTAGAATAATAGTATTTGCTATCAATAGTTCTAGGGAAAGTTCATGAGGTCCTGTCTCAGTAGAAACTAAGTGATAATGCAAATATTTGTATTATTTTCACCAATGAGCAGATTAAAAATTCAGCAATAACAATAATTTACTGCATATTTTTCAAAACCTAGAAGGAGTCTTAATATTTCACAATAAAGAAATTCTGAGGAGATACTTAAGTTTAACCTGGTTTAAACACTATACGATGTTTACGTGTATAGAAATAACACAGTACCCTATAAATGTGTATAATTTTAATTTTAAGCATTAGATAAAAATTAATTTTAAAAATGAAGTGATGGGGAAATTCTAAACTTTTGGATATAATCAGAAGAACCACATTTGAAATTTTCCAACTGCTGGACCTTGGTCTTTCTTTAATTTGCTCTAATCCATCTTCATTCAGCATCCACCTTTGAGGTGGTAGCTAATAAAACTGTGATTATATCGTGTAGGGCTATTTATAGTTACAAGCACTCAGGAGGCACAAATCTAAATGAATGACTTTATCAATGATTTATGATTAATTAAAGAGATATTTGGAAACTAGGGAGTATGTTGTGCCATCTAAATTAAAGCCCATACACGATTTCCTGCTTCTCTGTTTGTAGAGTTGAACATGTAGGATATTATACACAAATAAATTCAAAGATTAGTACACAGATGTTTAGATCATATTCATATTTGCTTTATTTTTACATACACAAATGCAATTTCTATTTACATATAATTTACCCTTTTCATAGAGCCATCTAAGATACGTGGCTTAACTTTAAAAACTGAATACTTCTTTTGCAATTTTAGTGTGGAATCCAGCTGAGACCAACTTCACTCATTACAAGATTTATATATCAAGTAGAACATTTGCAAAAGAATATTTTATTTGGGGAATGATGACTAAGGACGCATTTACATACCTGACTCCTAGTGGAATATGTAACACCAGAGTATAAGCATAAGTGGTAATACTAAAAGATCTGGCATATTTAGTAGGGTTGGTAGAGGTATGAAAATTCTTTGTGATAATAAAAAATTATATTTATATTGTATTGTTCAAGAAAAAATTTCAATACTTTATTTTGAAATTTGAAAACTTAAAATCTGTAGAATATTTTAGAAGGTAACAATACGCACTTTACTGTGAAATCCTGGGGTTTTCCGACATAGCATGAGTAATGGCACATAGTGCTCTATAAATTTAATTAATATTATACTCAGTTTTATACCAAGTTAGAAATCCAGTTAGTGTAAGTAAGGTTTGGGGATAATCTATTTTCCTAAAGGCTTGTTTGTCTTTGATGTCCTAATATGTGCTATACACTTGAAAGAGCATGCATTGACTTAAGATTTCCAACAAGTAGTAAGGAATACAAGTGTGGAAACACATATAGTATAAGCAAAACAGTAGGTGAGGCAATGGAAGTATGTTCAAATTAGTAAGGTTGCACAGAAGAGGAAATGGTGAGTTCATAACATAGATGACGGAGGTTGTCTGTGGGCTGGTAATATCTGCAAGAGGATAAGGAATTTATTAATCAGTCTGGATAATATGTATGTGTGAAAAAAGCAGGACTCAAAAATAAAAGAAATAGTCCATGCAGTGGTGTAAGTGAATATGATGTACCAGTGGAATCCTAAGCAATTCAATATTGGAAGGTTTTATTGTTTCTCATATATAAAGAGAAAAATGTCTTATTTACATTAATTTAAAGAATCATGTTTAAATCCAAATGAATACTATTAATTGATATTTCCAAAAAAGAGCAAGATTGTAAAAGCAACACATGAGAATTATTCTTAAGTGATTTTTAAGGCTGTGGTTTTGAGAGATGACCCAAAGATAACAGGCATATGATGATGACTTAGTCTGTGGGCATTTGTTACTTGGCTGTCACATGCTTTCTTAGTTTCTTATTGTTGCTGTACAAATTACCAATGATTCTTGGCTTACACCAGCACAGATTTATTTTCTTGTAGTTTTGCGAGTCATAGTCCAACATAGTTCCTAGTGGGCTAAATCACTTGATAAATATATATTACCCTGACATAAGACATATTTAGGTGGAGTATTTTAAGCTTAAGTAACAATCTTAGACTTGAGAGGAAAATTGTAGATCATCCCAGTAAGTGCTTACATCTTCTGTAAAATGTTAATTAATTATTCAGGATTATTGATGCTGTTATTTGTTAACTGCTTTGTGAAAGTTAGAGGTGTAGCTATTGTAGCAATTGAAGCTTTAAGATATTACTCCCAGGTCTAAATTCTGGCACTGCCATTCACCCATTAGCATGAAACTTTGGTGAAGTCACCTCATTCTTTATTTTCAGTTTCCCTGCTTTTAAACAGTAATTGTGCATCTATTCTATGGAATTGTCACAAATGCAATATAAACCAGTACTTGAAAGTGCTTAGCACAGTGCATATTTTAACATAAACTTAAATTAGTTCTTTTTATTTTGCCTTTCTCATGCTTAAACATCTCAGTATCAGTCACAGATTACATATAATGCCCAATCTATGATTTAATCACAGAAAACTTTAAATGTGATATTTTTAGCTTAGCAGCTACAATGTTGGTATATATGGAATATAAGTAAAAGACAATGATAATGAAACATCTTGAGACCTAGAATTTTATTTTACAATGCATGTCCATTGTAGTTTTGAGTATTTTGGATACTGTTTTCATTGGTCTGAGTGACTCTTTTATGGTTATTCTGGATCTGGAGCATTGTGATCTCACTGCATAATCATTAAGAGTCAGAATTTACCCAGCACTTTCCTATGTAGCTGCACACTTGATTTTAAATCTTCACTTACTCTCTTTCTCAAAGGTACCATAGTTTTATCAGAATTTTGAGGTTTTCTGAGATTTTCTAAACTTGTTTAAACTATTTTCCATATAGACCATGGGATGATATTTTTCAGCTTTCTAATATATACTTTAGATAAATTCATTGAAATAACAAGGGAAAAAAACCTCAGAGCTACCAGACAGCTGCATTGTCCAGGATGTGACTGTATGTATATATTTATTTATTTACTTATTGGTGCCGGGGATAGAACTCTGGTCCTTGTGCTTTCAGAGCAGGTGGCGGAACCACTGAGCTAAATCCCCAGCCCAAATGATTTAGGTTTTTTTTGTTTTTGGTTCTGGCGATCCCACTCGGGACCTTGAGCTTGCGAGTCAGGTGGTGGAACCACTGAGCTAATGTCTGGTCCTCAGGATGTCACTGTAGAGCCTTGGAATGTAAGTGGTTCAATTTAGATGAGCCATAAGTATAAAATGTACTTGAGATTTTAAGACAATATGAAAGCAGGAGGAGGCTTCTGGGTAGGCGTGCCACGGCTCCCAGGAGAGAGGAGGTGAGCCGCGTGGGCGCCAGGAACAACCCCCCCACCCCAGCCCAAGTCAAAATGAGAAGACAGGTAAACAAGCCTCAAAAACAGACTTCCAGATCACCTACAGCAAATCCAAAGGGAAACGAGATGGAACAATATGATACTCAACCACCTGGACTCCCTGAACTAGCAACAAAAGAGGATCTGGGAAAAATGAAATCAGAAACAATTTCTCAACAGCAAAGATTGTGCCCATAGTGAAAGACATGATTAATAAATCTAGAGAGGATACAGATAAAAAAAATAGAGGATCTGAGGAACATGATGGAATGCAAACATAGGAAACAAATTGAATCCATAAAACAGATGCAAACAGATTTCCAGGAGAATCAAAACTCCATTGAAAGTCTATGCAGCAGAATGAGCCAATGTGAAGGCAGAATTTCAGATATAGAAGATAAGATTGCAATTAGTG